CAGGAGCAGGCTTCTTCCCACGCTTCCTCCCACGGCAGCACCCCGCACGTGCTCCCGTAATCCTCCCCCTGCCCGGCTCCCTCCTCGCAGGGCTGGTGGATACGGGATCAAATCCCTCGCCTGTGTCACGCTGCCGGACCCGGTCCCAGAGCACCTGGGTCCCACCCCAGCGCTGGCTGCATCTTCTTGGCTGGAGAACCCAGGAGTCCTGGTTGCTCGCATGCCCACCCCTCCGCCTCCTCCTGGAGCGCCCCTGGAGCTCACTGACCCCGGGGCGAGGGAGAGGGGCCCGTTCTGGCTCCCACAATGAGCAAGTCCTGGCCTGCCCGACGGGTGCTGGGCATTGCCACCCAGCCCTGCTGCTCGTGCCACCCCCTGACCAGGGCCAGCCCTCTCCTGGCGCCGCTTGCCTGGCGTGTGTATCGCTGGCTCCTTGGTGGAGACTGGCCGAGGCTTCTCGGTGGGAGACTTCGGTGCTGAGAGGTCCAAGGGGGAGGAGGAAGAATGGAAAACGCTGGTTAGACCCATGGCCTTGCCCTCCGCTTGCCACGCTCCACGATGCCTCCCGTCTTGCCACGATGGGGAGGGAGTGTGTCCACGCTCCCGAGCAGGACAGTAAAGCCCACCGTGCTAGGACGGGATCACAGCTCGCCAGATCCCAAGGGGCCCAGACAAAACCCACTGGGAGAGGGGGCAGAAGCAGGCCCCAGCGCTGCCCTGCAGAGAGCACGCCAGTCCCATGGACCAGGGTGGGCCACCCACGCCACCGCCCGCTACCTTGACACATCGTGGTGACGTTGTAGATGGAGCACTTCTCCTTGGCCGGCTCCCCTTTCTTCACGCAGCTCCCGGTCCCTGAAAGGCATGGGGCAGAGACGGCTCAGACGTGCCCTCCATCCTGGGTACGAAGTGGGGGCAGCCCCGCCTTGATGCCCAGGCGGCAGACGGAGCCGCTGGCCCACAAGCTCAGATCGGCCTGGTGGAGCCTCTCCGCTCTGGGTGGGTGCCCCCAGGTCCCTGCCCGCCCAGCGTGGGTCGTGTTCCCCTGGGGAGCAGCCTGGACCCAGAGCCACCCGCTAACCCCCTTTCCAGCTGCTCCGGGTTGTTTCGGCTGGGACCCAGGGCTTGCATTTCATTTCCCCTGGAAGCTGGGACAGGGCCTGCTTGCTGCGGCTGGTGTTTCCTCCAGGGCACTAGATCCGGGCCCCCCACCCCGAGTCGTGGGAGCACAGGAGCCCCGTGCCCTTCAGCTCAGCTCTGCCAAAGAGACCAGCTCTTTCACCCCTAGCTCGCTTGCACCAGGGGCTCGTCTCTCTTGCCCCCCTGCTTTCAACATGCCACCCTCCCCCACGGCAGGAAGCTGAGGATTGTTTGTCCCGTGCTCCCCTTGGCCCCTTGTGACCCGCCAACGGGTGCCAGGAGCAGCTGGGGCCGCAGCCAAAGGCTCTGAAACCCAACACCCGCCCAGCACAGGACATGGAGACGCTGGAGGAGATGGTGCTTCAGAGCTGCGCAACTGGGGAAGGCTTGAAAGACGCGCCCCCCCCCGGGCCTGCCTAGCAGCTTGCCAGGGTCCAGGGGTCCCCTGCACTGTGTCATGCACGGTGCCCCCCAGCACACCGGGCCCGTGCATCAAGCCAGGCGAAGGGGGCAGCTGGATGCGTGGGTAGGACTCGGGGCGTTAGGCAGAGCCACGTACCCGGCCCCTCGGCTTCTCTGCAGTGCAGCCACGCGCAGTCCGTGATGTTGCGGGAGGGAGCTCCTTCGAGGCACTTCTCACAAGTCTCCAGCTCCGAGCACTCGCCTGCCAAGCCGCAGAGGATGCCAGAGGTCAGGGGACGGGGGCCCCCGCGCCAGCCTGAGGTTTCCCCCATGCCTGCTCCGCGTTCCCTTCAGCGTGACCTCCTCGGACGGGGCTACCGTGCGGAGGCCACGGCCCCGGCAATTCTGCCTCGTCCCCCGTTCGAAGCCAGGCCCCTCACCAGGAAGGGAGGGCAGGTGTCTGGACTCCAGGGCCCCTCGAGGAGCCAGCTGGGCCCAGCTAATCCCCGAGTCAGACCCTGGAGAGGCAGAGTCCCATGGCCCTCTGACACCGAGACCCTTGCTGACCTCAGGCAAGTCCCTTTGCTTCCCTCGCCTGCATCTCAGGGGGCTGCTGCCCTCTAGGTGGGCGCAGTGCTGAATGCCACCTCCACGGGGGCTTTACACAAGGGCACCCCCCTCCTGCCCATCCAGCTCTCCCCTCCACACCTCCGCCGGGCCAGTCCTCACACCCAGCCCCTGGCCCTGCCTGGGCTGCTCCTTCCAGACACCAAGGCACCCCCAGTCTGTGCAGCGTGCGTCCAGAGCAGGCAGCTGGCAGGGCCAGCCCAGCGCCCCAGAGCCCACTGTGAGGCTTGTGGTACTTGCACCTCTTCCTCCCACCCCTGCCCCCGTTGCCTCCGAAGCCTGGTCACCGGGGAGCCCCCGCAGCTGCCATGCAGCTCAGGGGCCTGATGCCTGCCAGGGCTCACCCCAATCCCTTGCCAGGAGGTGCCCAACCACCATCCAGGCTTAGTCCGACCTAGGAGCAGCATGAGGATCACCCCCTGCCCTGGTTCTAGCAGACCGAGCTCCCTCGGGACCCCCCACCATCCCCCTAACACTCAATGCCCCCTCCAGGGAAGCGAATCACCCGGGCACTTTGCCGCTTGGCGTCTATTTTAAAGCCAGGGTCCCCTCCCTCCCACCATGGTTCAAGCAACAGCAGCCAAGGGCAGGGGAGCCACATAGCCGAGCGGTTAGACCAGGCCCTCGGGGAATCCCCGAGACCCTGTGGGACGTGGGGTAAGGGGCTATGGCCCCGATCCTGCCAACACGTTCGCACAGGCATCACTTTTGTTGCTGGGGTGCAGTGCAGAGCGGAGTCAACTGCGGGGACTCAGTTTACCTGCTCGTGCCACGTTGCTACCTCCTGGGTGGAAGGGACCCGTCCCCCCCGGGGTGGGAGAGCAGGGAGCCAGGGGCTGGTAGTCTGTAGCTGAGGGGCTACGACTGGGGTGGGGGCAAAGGGGCCTGTTCCCACTGGGAGAGGAGGGCACCTCGGACCTCTCCACAAGGAGCAGAGACCACCTCCAAGAGGGCAGACCCTGGATGCCAGGACACTACGGCTCGCTGGGCCCATGGCTTCGGCTCCCCCGTGCCAGCCTCTGCCACGTTCCCGCTGAATAATGAATGCCTGGCCGGGCCTGCGCGCTGCGGGTTGGGTTACTGCCGCCCTAGCGAGAGCCCAAGCGCTGGGCGAAGGGCTGGACCGGGCCGTCTCGCAGCCAGGAGCGCGCGGCTAGGACGGGGCTCCCCCAAGCCCAAGAGGAGGAGGGAACCCACCCAGCCGGTGCCAGCCACCCGCCTGGCTCCGGGATTAGCATAAACCCAACAACCAGGAACAAAGGGCCCCTTTCAAGCCCCTCGCCGGGAAGGGCCCGGGCCCAGGCGGCTCTGGGAAGGGCCCGAGGGACGCCCTTACCTCCACGCACGAAGTTCAGAGCCGAGCGGCACATTGCCACGGATACCCGGGTGGCTCTGGCGATGCCAAGGCCCGCACAGGGACCAGGGGGGAAGGAGGGCTCCCTTCTCCGCCCGGTCCCGGGATGCCTACAGCCGGCCCCTGCCCGCCT